GGGGATGGCTAGCCCCCCTATTCCCCACCCCCCCCCCCCCCCCCCTCTAGATCAGCCACTGATTGGTGTTTTGTATTTTAAAAAAGCAAACTATATTTGTAATTGAATTATATAATTTTGTAATTGTATTTGTAGATTAACGATTTAGGTCTATATTTGTAAATGGGAGCAACTTTAATTGTGTAATTGTTAATCACCATAGGAATTTAAATTATTTTTACGTATGTAGGTGTATCAGAATAGTGTAGTAATGTGAAACAGGGGTGGTTTTGCCACTATAATGTCAATGCATATTAATGTTATGTGCTACTCATTTATCTATTCTGGAACTGTTGTGTGCCCCCTCCCCCTTTGAAAAATCCCTGTGACAAGTATCAACAGTACAGTAATAATGACATCATACCAATTTTCTTCTGAAGTTCAAAACCGACTGTTTTTTTTTTAAACTTGTGGAAAGGATAACATTGACTAAGTTAGTATGATTTAAGATATATCATTATTTTTATGAAGGTGGGTATGTTTGTTTGTTTATTTATTTATTTACTCTAAGATAGAGATGGCAGGCTATAAAGGAAATTCATATTCCCAATAGGATTCACTTACCATATACATTCAGAACAAAGAGAACTTATTAATTATTAACAAAGAGAAATTATTTGCTAACCTAAAAATCCATTAAATACGACTTGCTATACATAAGGTTATAGGCGTCTTCCCCGTCTTCCAACCAACTGGGGCTTTCCCCTGCCTCCCAGGCAAAGCTTGAGCAAGTTGCTAGCTTAAAAATAGAAATAATACAAATTTTAAAGTAATTCGGAAAGAACTCGCACAGGTTGTTGTTCGCACAAGTGGATCTTCTTCCGCTCGAACTAGCATCCGCTCGAAAAAAAATCCGCTCGAATTCGCTCAAATTGGCCTTCGCTCGAAGTGGCATCCGCTCGAATTGACTGGTTCCCAGGCTGGGACATGAAAGGTTGTTGTTTGTTGTTATTTCGCAATTCGCGACGTCATCAACGAGTACAATACATTCAATCCCGTAACATGATTGGTCTATTTTATTCTAATTTGCATAATGAATTTTTCCAACAATTTTGTCTATTTAAAAAAAAGTGTGTAAGTTATGGAGATGGTAGCAATCATAAATCGATTATAAATTTAATTATACATTTGTAGACAAAAAATAAACCCTCTTGGCCCACGGCCCATTTTTTTGACACCATGACCATGTGTAATATTAACCTGCAGTGTATATATACGAAGAATTTTTTCTAGTAAGATTGACTAACTGGTACTTGGTGGTACTAGGTTTATCGCATTTATGGCTTAGGGACCGCGGTTTACCTCCCTCCGTTTAGTCATGCTGGATCAGGAGTAGTAAACTCAGCGATCGTGGGTTCGATTCCCACACGGGGCAAGTTTTTTTTATCTTTTTATATATTTATATTTTTTAAATTTATTTTTTGAAGGTCGTGGGTTCGATTCCCACACGAGCCAGTTTTTTAAATTTATTTTTTAAAGACAGTTTAGTTGATGGTGGATGATAGCAAACCTGGAGGTTGTGTGTTCAATTCCACACACACGAACCATTTTTTTTTTTTTTTTTTTTTTTTCTATTTTTTTTTTTTTCCTAGACAGGATTGTTCATTCAATTCATATTGAAATTAGTGTTTTAATGATGATTTTTTTCTTTCATTCAATGGGAATTCATGTATTTTATATGAGAAGGTCGAAGCTATGAATATTCAGCTTTCCGTTTACTGGATCCGCCACTGATTATAGCTCTGGAGTTGGAACATGACCGAAGTCTGTTTTGGTATACCAAATATACCTCAAATCGATCGATGCGAAAATGGCCTAGAGCGGACTGTCAACTCGCGTCAACAAACATCAACTCAGGTCAGAAGTCGTTTTAATGGCCCATTCCTTTTCTATTGCTTATCTCATTGTAAGTTCTATATACTTTCCTTTTGAGCATAAGAAAATTAACAGAACATTCACAAATTAAACTTTTGATAATGTGAAGAAATAAATTATTACAAGGAAAGAAAATTGACCAAATTTAATTAGGAAGAATGTAACAAAATGATGGCGGATCATAAGCCTTTAATTGATTTTCTGATTGGTATAATAAATATAAACATAATAATAATATGACAAAAAGGCATAATAATAACATCAATAACACTAATAAAATTAATAACAAACAGAAACAATAATAATTAAAAAAAATTATGACAGTGACTTCTGCAAAAGAAATAAAATGGCAGTATTTCAATAATTAGTATGTAAAGATAGTAACTCGTCCCTTGGATATTATTGCCAAGATTCCACACAAAAAAAAAAGCATACACACATGCATTTCTGGGATACAAGTGTTTCTGTAACAAATTCAGTCTAAGCGGAGTTTGTTCAGTTGTTAAGTGTGATTGGCACTCTGGAAGGCCCATTGAGTCGGTAGTCTTTTTTGGAAGGTAGACATCTAAGTAGTACCGAGAAGAGGCCGACATCCATGTTGCTAATTTACAAATGCAGAAGTATAGCGAATTTTGATGTCATAGATGTATCCAGATTGTACATTTACTATACTGTAGTTCATTTTAGCATTACTAACAGCCTCCCCCACTCGTATCTAGGCAATGTTTCACCTACTATGTATATACAGTATTGTAATGTGTATTTTGTATGAGGTGGAAAATAAAGACTCTGATTACCAGTGCCATGAGGAGTGTATTAACACAACAGATAATGCATATGGTGCAAAGACAAGCCAAACCAGTTACTCATCACATTTTTAGTTATTAATACAGAGTTAAAAAGTAAAATGAGAGCTATAAAATGGTAAAAGAATCATTTAAATCCGACATTTCCTTATGAAAGTTAAGTGTTTAAACATACAGCTGTTTAAAGAACAATTTCATGATTTCGTGCATTTCTCAGGCAGAAACCATCACCAAATTGTTAAACATTTTTGTTTTAACATTAAAAATGAGGAAAGTAACAGCATAATAATATATAGGTATATAAAGTTTTGTTTAGAGCAATAAAATAGATTTTTAAAAATTTTGACATTTCAGCATGTTTTGGCCATTATCTCTCAAACACGATTTGCGACGAGTGACTGGTTTGGCTTGTCTTTGCCACATATGCATTGCACAACACTCAGAATTTTATCCCAAGACACAGAGATATCAGCCTTTTCCCAGTAAAATATTTGCTCCAGTCTCCCCAAAAAAATCATGGTCAAGTAGTAAAAATCACCTTATTTACGAGTTAGCGCCACTCAAGCGATCATCATCGAGACCTCCACTCACCTTCACACCCGCATCAGCTCCCCCACTTCAAAACTTCTAGCTACACAACTAATCCCCTCACCACCAATGATCATCATAATTTTTTTTTAAACAATTTCACAAATATTTTATGATTCATTTTATATTCTCCTCACTTTCCCATTGTGCCTCCATTAGCCCCATCAGCTTCCCATTTTAATATCCTTAGATACATCACCGCAAGCATCTTAACCACCAAGCTACTGTTAACTTACCTCTAATCATCATTTGCAATTCTTTTGAAAATAATTTCACAAATATTTGTATGATTCCTTTTATATTTTAATAAATCAAAACATACTAATGCTAACAAATGTACCGTACTTGGATATTAATGTACAAAAAGTATGAAAAACTAGAACACACTTCGTACATTTCTTTATCAAACATAACATCAAATTAATAATAATAATAAATATAATAATGTAAAAATAAACCATGAACAAATTTACAGTAAATTTTTGAAGTACAAAGATAGAGTATCTGGATCACTTTGAAATAGATATGCAATTTATCAATTGCAATCATAAGGAATAAATACTGTATACACTTATTGGAAGATAAATTTGACTTTAGGCCACTTTTAGAATTAATCAGAAATAACAATAAATAAATAAATAAATAAAGATGTTTCAAATTGACTTTATAAATAATTTAGACATAATTACTTGAATCATTGATATCAGGAGAAGCCAAAATCAACAAAGTGATAAACTTGTTTACACAAAATTTGTGTGAACCAAAAATAACATTGTTAAGGTGATTGGCTGGATTGTAAAATAAGGGAAACTGAACCAGTCAAATAATCTATGATTTAGCTTTCACTTGGCTGTTCAGCATCTTGAGGTTCTGGTGGTAACTGAAAAAGAACAAAAGGACTGAATGTTACTATCTCTTGAACAAGTACAGTGCAAACCCCAATTCAAGACCCCTCTAATTCAAAATACTTTTTTAAAAAACCAAATAACAATCTTTTTAACACAAACCTAACCTACAAAGTTTTTAGGTCTCAAAGGTGGTCTGAAATTGAGGTTTGAACTGTACTATAAATAACATAAGTAAAAACAACAACAAATATTAACAACAAAATCAACAAAAATACACAAGAATTTTTCCATGTTTACAGTTTCATACATCACATAAAGCAGATGAAATTATTTTAGTTAGGTAGTCTACATTTTAGCTAGAACTCCCTGTGGGTTTCTCCCAATTTTTCAAGCAATCTTAGCTCTCCCGAACTAATTCAGAAATTTGCAATTTTTGCGCTCCGAAAAGGGAATGAGGACGTTTGTTAGGGAGACGGTTCGTACGTGGCTTCCTGGGTCGGACTGTTCCATTTATTTCGAAGAGGTGTTCCATTTGGGAACAATGGCAATTAGTTGGTTTATTCACAAAATAGACTTCACGATTGTTGCATTATCGCAAAAATTTCAAAACTTAAGGGCATGTGAAAATAAAGGGCTTCACAGAATACTTTTTTCAAGCCTGAAATGGCGATTCATTTATACACATTTCTGTATCTGTATGCTATTTTAATAGAACAGCATACAAGTACAGTACAGCAAAAAAACAAACCTTTGCTCTAAGCTCTGCATTTTCTTCTGTTAACTGTTCAACTTTTTGCCGTAGTTCAGTGACCTCCAGCCTAAGAACCTCGACATCAGCTGTGTCTGGTCCAGTTTTGCCAATGTGCTGTTTCAAAAAGCTGGTTAACAGTGAATAAAGGAAATTATACAGTATTAAATCATGAAATTTGCATACAAAAACCACTGATTCCAACAGGACTTAACCTGAAGTTCTACTGATTGCGATTTGGTTGTCAACACCTAATAAGGTTGACTAAACATACTATATACAAGTTATACAGTATTCATAAATTATATAGAAATTACCAATAATTAATTCTCAATACCAATTCATCTACAATAAAAAAAATAATTTTCAATCATATCATGGCTGTATTCAACTGCAAATTTTTGTTAAATCTTTTGTTTAAAACTTTCACCTAAATACATGGATTTATCTTTCAACAAATATATATGCCTACTGTAATTGCATTTGTTTAATTTAGTAAACAGTTTAAGGTGGAAAAACTATTCTAAAAATATTAAATAATATAATTTATGATGCCCATTCGCATTAATTCTAGAACATTTTATTAATTAGATTATTTCCATCTTTCAAATATTTTATCACATTAAAGGATACTCCAATGCATTGGTGGGTTTTTCAGGCTCTTCATAAAGACCAACAAGTACTCTTGTCAGTGTATCAAGAACACCTGACTTCTCAAGGTATTTTCTGAACTCCTCTCTCTTTGAATCTGCTGGCTGGAAAAGAGAAATATTGGAAAATGTGATATTGTTTCATTTAGGGCAAATAGAAAATTTATTAGATTATTACTCCTGCCCGCGTCAAAAATTTTGGAAATATTGATGCGGGAATAATTTTATTTGTTTTATTTATTTTTTTGTTGCATCACTTATTTTAACTGCATACGAACAACTTTGCAAAAGACAAATGCTCACAAAATATAAAGGAATTCGCTCCGAATTCGGCAGACTTCAAACTAGGATTGTTAATTCATAGCGTGCGTGTAGACTCACCTACTATACAGTATAACTATAATTAGTAGGGTGTTCCCTTCCATTTGGTGCTCGAGTAATCTGCTGTTTTTCACCGGAATATAGGCCTAGTTTTTGGATAGGCCTCTGAATCACAGGGCAGTTGTGTAAATGC